CCATAACCGTAGCTTCATTGCACACGGTAGGTTATGGATGCCGTGCGCCCCTGCTTTTTCACATATCAGACATGGCTGATTGGCAGCATGAATGGCAACATGAGTGGGACAATCAAAGCAACCCGTGTGGTCATGGGTGGTCACACACACACACACGTTCTTTTTGCTCTCATCTCATTTTGCTCTCATTCTATTCTCGTCTTCTCCTTCGCGCTTTTGCCTCAACTGAGACCCACCGACACAAATTCCTACCTGCAATTTGTAGCTCCACACACCCGCTAACAAGTGCCTTTTCAAACACGTCGACCCAGTCCGCTCCGTAACCCAAGAGGAACTGACAGCTTCTAGCTGGCCATCTCGCATATCTATCACGGGGCGGGTAGTGTGATCACCCCCTTGTTGACGTGACGTGGAGGGCTTTGAACCAAAACTGTAACATATATCAGCTCTTTGGCCGGCATGATGCCCCAAGAGTTCAACATGTCTCAGGACATCTCTCCGAACACTGAGTTTTGTGCTCAGGACCTTCGACTTTTGGCTAGCTTAAAGTTTTTGGCTAACACACACGGCTGTCCCTCGTACATCGTTACGAGTGCTTCCGTTAGCCTTAACTCGAACCCACCACCTCCTGCAAACCAGCAATGAAAATTGCAGGAACCGAACACAGTGCTCACTGGTCTGGCGTCGTGGCACAAGGCTTTACGCGCACAGACAGTTGCACTAGCACTTTGGCAGATTTTCGCAATAGAACTTTACCTCAGCCACTGGCGTTCGCCTAGCTGCCTAGCTTCGTGAAACATGTGACCAGCACCGGGGCCTGCTGTTCAAGGAGCCCATGCTGGTTCGGTTCCATAGTGTATGGAGCATCCTTCTCCAACAGCCTCCACTGCAGTTCCCCCAACAGCAACTCATGCCACGCGAAGGAAGTCCCGAAAGGAAAGTCAGCCGATCTGACACGAGGCTCAGGCCCACGAAAACTCTTGGCTCCGTGGGCAACATTAATGCCCATGACGTCACGGGTGTGCCACCCACGCAACTCTCCGAGAGCAGGAAGCCGCCCATCATGGGGTCATGCCGTAACGAAGAGGTAGTAGATGGACTCAAAGCCACAGCAGTCGCCCTCTTGCCCTTGGAGACCTGCTTCACGAAGGCCGGACTGTAGGTGATGCTCCGCGTCAACGCGGGTCCGGTGAAGGCTGGCCCACGTATCAAGCTCACGAAGCCCCCGGCGACTGGCGAGCTGCGGTGCATCGACTCCCTCCTCTGCGCCCAAACGCTCGGCAGAGTAGGAGCCTCGGCACTCGGGGAATCCGACGCGTCCTGCAGTCAAAGATTTTGAAGTTCCCCGGGTCCCCTCTGAGCAAGGACTCGTCGGCCAAAGACAGCATTGAAAATAACTTTTGAAACTCAAATTGTACACACTTATTATGTGGACGGTACAGCGCGCTAACTTTACCTCGAGACTCTAGAGTTGGAGAAACCCTGCTATTACAAGGTCCTACTAGCATGGGTTAACTCCTTTCCAAATGGCTGCTGGAGAACGCACACAGCTTCACGTTCATGCTGCAGCACTCCCCCCGTTCTGCACTTTGCAGAATGTACCCCGTCTATTCTTCTCCTATCCCTCCAGGACCTCTGCGAACCCCGGTTGAGCTCTTGGCTGGACGGGCCAACCAAGCACTGTCCGTGCATGATTCACGCCCTTCTGACCATAAACTGGAACAGGCGACGAAATCTTTGGCTCACAGTTTCCAGATGCCATACAACTGCTATCACGGTTGGCATCTTGAGCAACTCCAGCAAACTTCTGAGAATTGTCGTGAACACCTATGCACCAGGGGGTTCAGCACGCTGATGAGTTTAGGCTGGGCGCCAACATGTTCAACAGGAGCAGCCTCAAAGGGGCTGGGCGTAGGGTTCGACTTCAACACGGAACGTTCACGCGGCAACAGAGCATCCTGTGGTTGCAACGTTCGCACGCTGGGAACGCCGGACCTAACAGCAGCACCTCCCTCAACAGTTCGCCTCAACAACCGGACTCTCTAGGAACTACAGGTCTTTGACGCTCAAGCGTCCGGTTCGTCCGACCACTGCTGGCCGAATGATGCTCCTCACTCCGACGCTGATCCCAACTCATGTAGCTTTTGAAACTCTGACCGTCAGATACGGGCACGGGAACAGAAGAAGCCGCTTGCTGTACGAATGACTGGGAAACCATGGGTGGGGAGCGCATCACGCGCTGTGGCAGGGGAACATGCTGTCCAACCAAGCTCGGGGCAACTCCAACGGCACCAAGTCTGGATTCCATCTTGCCGAATCGGCGATCGATTGATATGAACTGCTCACGGTAACCAGCAAGCTGCGACTGGACGAAGTTTTCAAGCTCAACAGTTCGACTGGCAAAGCTCTCACCAAGTCCACGCAAATTTTCAACAGAATCAGCACGGCACTCCCCAAATTTCCTAGCATTGTCCAACTCAACCCCGTCACAACGCATATGTAAACGGCTTGGTGTATGCATCGGACTCATCACGGAGTCGATCAATCTCACGCTTCATGGTGTCGAAATCCTGGTGGTTCACATTACCAATGAGGGTACGCAACTGACCAAGCCCGTTCATCAAACGACTGTTCATCGAAACAAGTTCGGATCTGGCGGACGCAACAACTTGCTCAAGAACCTCCCGGATTGCAACATTCTCGGAATGCAACACTTCAAAAACGTATCTGACTCGGTCAAGCTCGGAAGCATCAAGCAACCCACGCGACTCAACCGAACCAAGGTTGTAACCAGACACGAAACAAGGTGTAGTGTTCAGCATCCCCGCACAGGAGTGATAGCGCCACCGGAATCATGCAAAACGCAAGCTGATCGGCACAACACAACCACACGGAACGCCATGGCTGATCAACGCAACCTCGGTCCAACAAAGGCAAAAGGAGACCCTGCAGCCGCTGACGGAGCAGGGTAAGATGTAGACAACACGGAAGGATCACCCAAGGATGCCTGCACAAACAAGCTCATGTTTGGACTAGCAGCAACAGTCGGGCAAGGAGAAGCAAGCGCAGACGCGGAACAAGACGCAGCAGCAGGAGCCATCACGCCAAGTGGGTTCAACGTCTCGCAAGCCAAGTGCGGCGCAGCTGCAGGCGCAAGCTGCAAGCTGTTCTGTCCTGAGGGTAAGGGCCTGGCAAGCGCGCGCAGGAGCAAGGCGGAGCAAGCAACGCGGCGGAAGCGGTCCCATGTGTGGATCCTCCAACTGTCTCGGAACACCGCTCATGCAATCTCTGCTCAGCAATGAGAGCATCAAGCTGCTGATCAGCGGTCAAGCCAACTGAAAGGTCCTCGGAAGTCATCTCGGAAATGCTGTCTTCACAACACAAGCACGGGGCACCACGGATTTCCAGGAACGCAAGGGATCCAGCAACGCAATCGATGCAACCGAGAACACGGGACAAGCAAGCGACACGCAGGTACAAGTCCAACCGCGGCACAGAGGCTACGGCCTACGGCTGATAACTTGTGAATTGACACAGGACAACCCCAAGTCAACGGTCACAAAGCAACAGTGGCCGTGCCCGGTAGACAAGTACACACGGAAGCAAAGCTAGGTAAAGCAACCCCAGAAGCAAAACCTAATCGTGCACCTAAGGAGCAACACAGTCCACTCGGAGATCTTTTTCGAAGTGGGGTGATGCTACAGGCTGTCCACGTAGGCAGCACTAAACGGTGCTTGAGGCGTAAGACGGCAGCAGATGCAAGCATATGACTCTACACAAGGCAAGGTAGGCATGACAATTCACAAGCCTAATTACAGACTGTGTTTGTTTCTGAAGCTGAAGCGGGAGGAAGCCAGAGGAAGCCGGAGCGGTGACGTTGTCTGAAAAATGGGCTTCTCAGGGCTTCTCAGCTTCTTCTTGCAGCCGGGGTGCTGGAGATGTTCAGGCTGTCGCTCCTTGGACGGGTTAAGTTCTTGGACGATTTGAAAGAAAGCTCTGTGACTGCATGTTAAGTTCTTGTCAGGAAACAAGTCGAACACAACATGCGGAGCATGCGGAGCCGTGATGGGCTCTGGGCAGCCGTCGAAGATGATCACGACTTCACCTGATTTTTGCTGCACATTGCTGCACACACGGGCAGAATGCACCAAAGCTGTTGTCCTGCCTCCCATACCGCCACCAGCGATGGGCATATCCTCACACTCCCTGACAATTTGGCAATTTGGCATTCTGGCAACAGGCGCAGTTTCAGGAATTGGGACCTTTCTGGCGGATTTTCACTCTCAAGATATGAGCTCTGCGTTGACTTTGTGTCTGACTCAGACTTCCCGTCAATAGGAGAGGAGCGCTCCCTGAGAGTCTTTGGCGCTGTTGGAGGCACTCACCCTCAGTGCCCCAGTCTGCATACATGTCTTGACGTCCCCCACGGCCGGCAATGGCAGCCAAGCAGTCAGCATGCAAACAGCCGTGCGACACAGCCAGAGCTTCAAAATCTGAAAGATTACCACGTGCATGGGTAAATTTCTTGGGCTTTGGCGTCAGGAGCTGGAAGCCGGTCGCAGTGAGCACCTGAGCATGAACATCAAGACAGATTTGAGCAAGTCGGTTTTTTGCGAGCCCAAGTCGAGAGAGATTTCAGCCCGGCGCCGCCCCAGGGCTGTTGGTGAGGTCAATGGTGGGGCAGTAGTCAGCTACATGCCGGCCTCAGCACCCCAGGAGCGAAGATGAGCGAAGATGAGCGAAGACAGCGAAGACGTTTTCCGATGCATTCCGATGCTACGAGGTTGCTGCAGCACCGAAACGGGCTTGCTGGCTGGCTCGTGCCATATTTCAGCCTAAATCATCCGCACGCGCTGCACGATCGGGCCGTCTGTTGCAGAAGCTGAGAAAAACACCATGTTCCGGAGCTGGTGCAAAGTATGTGGTTGTCGCCATCCAATGCAGTGTAGCCAGGATCACATTCCAAGAACACCTCCCAGTGAGTGTGCCCTCTCCTACCAAGAGTTCAAGTGACCCCCAAAGTTCTGGAGCGCAGGTCGCTGTGAGAGTGCGCTTCTTCATGAACTTTAAGCTTAGCCACGGATCGGTAACAACTGTTCATAACAAGAATGCTCATAATAATGCTAATGTCGGTGTTGCTGCTCTTCCTACTGTCTTGATTGGTACTGCTTTTTTCTTCCTGTCATTATGACATATATCTATCATTTTGATATGAATACTGTCCGTTCTTTCTGGTCACACTCCTGTGTTAGCGCAACAGCTCACGGCAGGCCGACGTGGCTTGCGCCTGCAAACCCTGTGCAATTGCGTGTACAAAAAAGATTCACATATGGCCTGACAAACTACATGGGTCCCGCTCGCCTTGGAGCTTGCCCTGGGGAAAACCACTCAGAAAGAACTTCAGGCCCAGAAACCTGAAATATAGGATACAGAACTGCGACGGTGGCTCTGGCTGAGCGAAGGGCAGCACCTGTACAGAAAAGGCAGCTTGACTGACCCAAGCAGAGGCGGAGAGGACAGGCAGGTGCAGGCAGGACAGAAGAGTGCAGGCGACTGGAGTGGCTTGACTGACCCAAGCGAAGGCCGAACAGGGGGAGACGGCAAGGACGAGGAGGCGGGAAAGGCCTCAAGGCTCAGCGAAAGTGCTGGGGAGATCCGCCTCTGCAGGGAGGCGGCGCAGCACCGCACGCGCGTTCTCACGCTGCAGCGCGACGGACAGACTCTGCAGCAAGCGGTCGGTCCTGTTACGACTATTGTTGCAGCTAGTATTGTGCAAGCTAATGGAGTTAATGGAGGAAAGGCAGCATCAGACTTGGCAAAGGTGGTGGCAGCGGTGGTGGCGGTGGCGGTGGCGGTGACGGTGGCGGCGCTGCTTTGTTCTGGGCTAACAGTAATTCCCCCTCCCCCCCCCACCATTTCTGCATTTTCTCTGAATGAATCTCTGACTATAATGGACATCCCTGTGTCAACAAAAAACTGCAGCTTCAAGAGAAATAGAACTGCCTACTCTCTTCAGCTGATGTGTCCAAAGCACTGCAGACAGCGGCGAAATTGGGCGTTTGGTTCACGATACGTAAAGGTATTTCTCTTCAAAAGGCCAAACAACGAACACCAGGAAATTGCTTCCCCAGAATGCTTCATTTTCAAGTACATGCCCTGTCAAGCTTGATGTAGGGATGGGTGACTTCGCTGGCATCCTGATCAGATCAACCGCACTTATCTAATAATTAGTTAGGTTTGTTCGATAAATCTCACAGAATATGATTGATTTGATAATCAGATGAACCGAAAAATGATGAATAATTGGATTCTTCTAACTAATCAAATTATAGGGTCCTGGCCGTTTCCTTTCAGGCCCCCCCGAGGCTTCCAATAGTACAGCTAAGCCAATCATAAGATGTATAGGATTTAGCCCCAGGCCCCCCAATCTAATGAATGAAATTGATACGAGAAGTTTAAAGACTACATGACTGACGACCAGGTCCAATCACTCAATTAGCCACGTGCACCTAACTAATGCAAACTATCGGTTTTGACATTAATGCAAATTATCCGTCGAAGTTTGAACACACATCCAGATAAATTGGATTCAGCTCGGGCTAATCTGATCACATGGATCCATGGCAAGCAGACTTGAAGTCTTACAGAAAGAGAAGAGAACGCCCCCAACGTATGCTGGGCTAAGCTGGGCTCCTGGCGGTTGCCTTAAGATGAGAGACTCAGAGTGACGCATCTTAAAACGATTTCTAGCTAAGTGGATCATTCACTAGATGAAGGGGCTGGGTCTGAACGGAAATTCATCGACTTAGTCTAACTATTCTTCTGGCTTAATTAAGTTGATTCATTAGGAGGCAGGAGGCTGAACCAAGCTAACTTAATCAACAAACTACCGAAGTAAGTACTTGAAGGAGACTGCACGGATCGCGCGTAATTTGAGTATTCTAGTTGATGAACCACGTAAGTCAAATCAATTTTTGGAGCAATCTAAGGTTAGAAGTATGGGCCATTATGGGCCCTTAGTCCCTTCAGAGGATTCTAGGGATCCCGAAGGGTACATATAGGGTATCATACTCTGGCTAGGATTTAATCAAACCAACCTGTTAGAACACATTCACTGATTTGTTTAAGGGCCTGACTGTTCTGACAGTTTGAATCCGTAGTTTCATTTAATCAGTTTGATGAATCAAATTTTGCTTCATTGAACAACTTGATAAAAAAGGATAAGCAGAAGGGGGCTGGGCCCTGAGTGTGAGTTGGGGGCCGATCCAAAGTATTACTGATGACCCCGAGTACTTAAAAAGGCGCAAGCTGCTGACCATGTATCCCGAAATGCGTGTCATAATGGTTGCTTATAAACACAGACTCCGTTTATAAACAAGGTCCCCAGATCGCCAGATAAGGTCTGAGGGATCGGCCCCCTGCTACAAGCCCATGAGTACACGGCATCCTTACCACTTGTCTAGAAACACCGCTAAACTATGAAAAATACCAAAATATGAGGGGAATGACTGTGCACCATTTGTTCTTGCTCTTGGCCTTCCTTACTCTTCAGGTCCACACGTACTATGATTTTTGAGGATTGTATCCATACTAATTTAAGGAAAATACTCACGCAAGTGGAGTAATAGAGGAAGTCTAATCACTGAAGGTAGTTTCTTGATACGGAGAAGAACTGTCGGGGGAAACTGTATTTGTTTTAAGCTTATTTGCGCCCAACACGATTTTAATTGCGAAGAAAATCCAAACATTCATGGGGCGTCCGGACCCGCAAACACCTAGAAAACTAATTGCGCACCATGGACAAAAAAAACGATTTGTTCACTAAAAACTTTCCGCATCAACAACAACTCAGACCCATGTCTCCTCGCCCTCTCTCGTGCGCTCTGCCTCTGAAACGATGCCATGAAACTTGCAAGAGCCATGGCTGACTCTCTGGGCGTCTGTCACAACGATTCCACTGGATGTTGTTTGCCTGCTGCCTAAACCTCAACCCTCAATCCTCAAAATTCATTAACAAAGCCTAAACCCATCATGCGGTCATGAACACTAACAGCCATAACAGCGAGTTTGAACCATCTTGCTGCTTAATTACCTCTTGCCGCAGCAGTGGCCTGCGAATGGGGATGCATACAGAAGCCTTCGTGCCGCATCTCCCGAGCATTGGAGAATTCCTTCTGTCCCGAATTTTGTGGAATTTTTCAATAAGTCTGTAAAAGGGTGACTGGCCAGTGTGTTAAGCACTTGCACACCAGGCAAACCCAAAGTTTGCGCTTCCGTGTTTTGACTCTTCGATTTCAAAGCTCAGCAAGGTCGATACTGCTGGTCACCTGCGAATGGCAAGACTATTATGTTCCCCAATGTTTCTACAGCTTAAGGGCTGCTTGAGACAAACATAACAATTGACCATTGGTACCAACAACGAATTACTACCTCAGCTGCAAGCCATAATGCGGGGGTAAAGTTGTAGTAATTTACACCCCCCACGGCGAATTACAACTAGTTGAACGAGTCGGAAACAGAAGCTCCACTTTTCACTCACCAACACTCATGAGAGTAGCAAAATCGATAGGCTATGAGACTTCAACGGCAGGGCGAACCTAGACCGTGCATTGCGAAACGAATTGTTTTCCCCTCTCAGATGGTGCTAGGACGAACCTAGAGCATCAAAGCATTCCATTGCGCGCCAAAATGGCGATTGGAAAGGAGAGATGACTTCATCTTGAAGCCATTCATTCATCATCCATGGTGTTGAGGTCGAAGCTGGGGTTGTACTGTGTTCCGTGGTTCTGGACATCGTCGGTGATCTGTCCAAGAGCACTGCGGAACATTGAAGTACGAGCCTTCAGCTGCCCATTGACAACGTCAACGAATCTCTCGTTGTAGAACTTCTGGTACTCCGGCCCAAAATTGGCACCCATCTGCACTCCAATGTACAGGACTTCGGGGTCAGGGCTTTCTCGTCTTTTCTGTGCCTCGGAGAGACCCTCGACGCAAATGTGGAATGCGCCGTTATGCATCGGGTCTTTCGGCATGTTGTGATACGCGGCGTACCTGAGCTTCTTCATCCCAAGCAAGAAGCGATCGAACCCGGGCGCTGATCAGGTTATGATGTCCCTTACCCTGTGTAGGTCGAAGACTCCGATATCCCTCAGAGTTCACTGCGAACAGCGGGGTAAGGAACTCATTGACCTTCATGGAAGTGTAGGCCCAAACGTAGATGTCCCAGATGTAGGAATGAATGCGAAGTGCTTCGTAGCCATGCTCAAGGTTTCGCATATCAGCAAGGAGCTGTCGCGAACTGTGTACTTGTTCTTGATCATCCATTCATCTCGGGCAGCTTGGTATTTCCGCCTGCCCTCCCCACGGATCTATTCGAAGTATTCATCCTTGGTGGGGACACGAGGGAGTTTGGACTCTGTATCCAAGAACGCAGGGCAACGAAAAGGCTTGGCGGCGAAGGGCGTCTTGAGCTCTTCCAGCCTCTCCTCCATTTCATTGAAACTCAGAGCCAGGTAGTCCTCAAGAAGATCTTTGCGTTGGAATTCGGAAGATGAGATAAGCGAGCACTTCATCAAAGACCTTCGCCACCTCCTCAGTGTTTGCGCATAAAGCGGGAGGATGAGTAGCCTTGTTGCTCGACACAGTAAGGTACTCGTTGGCGTAGTCACCCTGTTCGCCATACTGGTCAACTTCTTCAGGCTCA